TGTGACACTGGCCTACTTTGATATTTAATCGCAAATTGTTCTAGACGACAAAATGTGTTTTGAATTGAGTGTCTGCACATCGTCCACATTTACGCGCTCTAACAGGCCTGATGTTATTCATAAATATGGAGTAAAAAAAAAAGAAGGAGGAATAAATGATTACAAATGACCAATTCTTACGCTTTTGACCTCCAAGATTTAAAAAGCTAAAATTAACAAACTACTGTCACGTCCATGTGTATGATTCTGCAGCTAAAACAAAGAAGGAATTTCTTTCATTTCATTCTGGCTCATCTGGCCAGAGTCAGCACTGTGCGATTTATAGTCAGGCTATGGCCCAGTCTCTGGTTTCCTGTCTGTGGAGTGTGTGTGTTTGTGTGTGTGATGTGTGTGATGTGGAAGATCAGGGTCATTATAATGGAGGAAATAAAAAATCTTGGATTATGCTCGCTTTAGTCTTGGTGCAGTGAGGACTATTTGTCTGTTGGTTGTTGTTAGCTACATGATGTTGCCATGTTTTATCTGAGGTCACTAATTGTAAGCGAGTGATTATGTCGCACTGGATGAATGGTATTAGCGTCAGTGTGTAATACGGTGGTGGACCATTGCACACTAAATTAATGATGGAGAGCCAAAGACTAATCTTGCAAACTAGCATTAGCCACATTGCCATTTCCTCTCACAAATGGTGTCTGCTACAGGCCCGTACAAATATAAAGATGCGGTTAAAAGCAGCACAAATGAAAGAAAGAAACCCCACTACAACACTGACCCAAAGTTATTTGATATTGGGAATGAAAAAAAGAGAAAGACATGGGGTCGCTGGGTTGAGGTGGTAAGCTACACACACAGCTGCCTGCAACATTGTTACACACCAGGACTAATAAAGATATTGCAGCAACCAGCACCTCTGAGTCTGCTGGGGGTTTCCTTCGTCTGCTATAGCTTATTGTACGGGTGTTAAAAATTAATATCCTAAGGCTTGTTTTCAGTAAATCATTTTAAATACAAACAATGATATCCGAAAAGTGAGTTTAAATCAGCTAAGAAATTTGACACGTGCTTAAAAAAGAGAAGTGCCAAACAGGAAAGTACATGTTATGGTAATGTGACATTATCAGTCTAAGATCAAGTGATTATTTTCAACACAGAAGTCCAATTGTTCTTACTGTGCAGCCCAATTCTCCGGCAATCAAGTGAAAAATGTATGAGCGTTATATCTAGTTTTTGTTCTGACATTGTGGTTGCTCAGATAATTTCAATGCACCATGTTACACCGAACACATGGATTTACAACTTGGAACAGTAGTATCTGTAGCCATGGAAGTATCCTAAAGATAACACAACTGATACATGCAACACTTGTGTTATTATTGCTAAGCAGAGCACTGCTGATGTATCAGTGTTAATGACAGATTCTCCCTTCGTTATTACACAGCGGCAGATCCATCATCCACACCCAAGCATTCCACACTAATGCAACATTGTTGCATTGACGTTCCATACTGTGTTCCACTCTGCATAGAAACACAGTGCAGAACGAGCGGTTGTTTAGAACGTGATACGTCTCAATTCACTCTATAGTTAGAACAACTGCTTGTCAAATTCTTCAAATGCATTACAGTTAGTGGAGTTTGCGTTAGTGAAAGATAGGAGGCATCTTCAGATTTAATAAAATAGTGGAATATATCCAAGTACATTAACTTAAGTACTGTGCTAATATATAGGCTATACACATGTTAGGTACTTGTATACTTTCACTTTATTTAATTGTGCTTCAGAGAGAAATATTGTGCTGCATATTCAATCACATTCATCAGTTACTTTGAGGACTATTTCGCCAATAAAATAGGATGGATTATCATCTGGTTTTAAAAGTTCATTTTGTTTTGAAAAAATAAACTAAAAAGGAAGTTACCTTGCACATAGATGCATAATAATATGCATTATATTAATAATATAATAATAATAGCCAACACAATAACATATAAAATAAAAAGCATTTTTGGCATTTTGAATATTTATTTATTTTTTACTTTTGATGCTTTAAGTAGCCTATATTTTGATGATATTATTGTAAATAGATGTTCAATGCAGTTTTGGGCATGGATTTAGCCTGGTTAACCTTTTCTCGTATTTTTCCTTGGATGTATGTGGCAGAGTCAATAGACTATTTTTCTGTGTTCAGGAAGAGCCCGGATATTAGCCCGAGTGTGTTCCCAATCAGTCACAGACAGCTCATTTTCACAGCTCTTATTTTCAAACAGCTTCCACGGAAATGACACTGGACAGTGTGAATATGGACTACAGCACGCGGTGTGACATGACTGTAGCTAATGACAACAGTGAACCTGGAGAGGAAGTGACACGTGACTCTCCAGGAGAGGAAGTGACACGTGACTGTCTGTACAGTAGGGATGGACATGTTGACAGAAATCCCCCCTTATATCACAGAAACGAATATATCTAGTTATGATGTGCATAAACAGCTTGTAATCATGAAGTCACTTTTTTATATCGAGGAGATGAACATCGTTTTTCGGGGTTCAAGTTTTCAGCCGTGACACTCCAAGTCACACAAAATCAATTCAAGATTTCCTGTAATTGCTGCCATATTTTCTATCCATCCTGTTGCTCTCTAAAAGCTGCCATTGACTGTCAGTGTTTGATTATTCGAACAACTGGAAACCTCATGACAATCATCACATTGTATGGCGAAGACTGAAGTAATGTTCACTTTAGCTCCGCAGGACACAGAGCTATAGATGCACATCCACACTGCAGACTGAATGAAACACAGCAGCAATAGCTAGAATAGCAGCCCATCAGTTTTAGGTTACAGAAACCCTCATTGCAGCATTTTATATATAAAAGCAATGTAGCTATACTGTAGGCTAAAATTCTAATTATAACAATGTGTTAATAGTATATAATAGTGTGTTATTTGGGTATAGGCTTTCCCTTGTTGCGAACAAATATATAGCCATATGGGCTATTTTTTCCAAGGCCAAATATAACACAACACCCCTAACTACCGGATTTTGTTTATGTCAGTATTTAAACAAAAAACTAAAGTATGAAAGTAACATTTGAGCATTTGGGGAAAAAATAAATCACAAGGCAAAGTGTCGCTGCTGTGTTTAGTATAGAGCCTATTCATAACATATGAGTCCATCATTCATATTTTCATTAGCCTCCCTCACATGAACAACAAAATACTTATTTGTTTCATCGCAATTTAAAATACTGATAGGGGAGTTTATATGGCCTTTAATTAGGAATGCATTTATAAAGCTATTACTAATTATTCCTGTTATTTTCTTCTAAATACGAGAATGTATTGAGTCTGCTTCATGTATCAATTAAAATCGGCTGCTCCTTTGAGCAAATGTAAACTATGGCCGGGGTCTGAAAATGATAACAACATAACTGCAATAAACTATTCGACATGGATTCACAGTTGTACACATGTGTAACAGTTAAATAGACGTGCTATTCTAGTTTCTTATCTAATAACAGATTTGTATTTAAGACGGTAAGTTGTGTTGTTATTGTAAAACTGCTCACTAGGTATTGCCCTTTAGATGTTCACAAACTAAAGTCCTCCAGTTGTATAAAGAATACTCAGAGATAAAGCCATATAGTATGTGTCTCCTTTCAAATATTTCATATAATTAATAATGCATGTTGCATAGTGTGGCCATGTGTTGCCTGCATGTTCCAGGATTGAATGAGTTCCTGTATCTGAGACTAAAAGACCAATATCGCCCTCTAGCGACCTCATTACTTTCCCAATGTAGCCTAATGCTCTGCAGAGGTAAACAAATTGTATTTAGTCCATCCAAATGCAGAGTTCTTGCATTGGTTTGACTACTGCAGATCCAAATTGTATCATTCATTTATTAATACAAATTAAGTAATTATCCAAAATTATGATATCGTTTTAGTTCCCTTTTGTGCAGACAGTGTGAGTTAAAATAAGGACACATCTCTGGTTTTACATTTCAATAATACAATAAACCCACAATAAGGCTTAACTCCATCTGACATCAGTCAATGTGAAGGTTTTGTTTCCCATCGGTGGGAAGTGCAGTTGGTGAATAAACGTGACCATTACGGTGGGGGTGATTTCCTCTAAAACAATTCATCGACCAGACACCCCGTGGAAAAGTGTCTACATTCTGTTTGTCAGCAACAGACGCAAACGCCCAAGATAAAGAGGATTTCAAAGGAGAATGTAATTACTGGCCAGGACCATAAAGTCATTTAGGCCAGACGTCTAGCCATTTCTATAGCTTTATTGGACCACGTTTCTTCCTGCTTTAAAGTAATTATTCGTACAAGTTGGACAATAAATTGGAAATCCGCCGCAACACCTCTCCCAATCGTAAATACTTTTGTTCTTTTAAGTTTCAATTCCACTGTTTGGAAAATGAAGTGACAACAACAAAGTAGCCTAAAGACAGATTTGAATGGGATATAAGAGTAGCCTACGTTTATTTGCAGATTTGTTAGCTGCAAATAAGAAAATTGTCAAATCTGTCAAACACTAACTATTTCGTTAAGTTGTGTGTTTCATGCTCAAAGAATGCAGCTGTAATTCATGCTGCATAGTCTTACTGAAAGCAAGGCTTCAGCGGATATGTTTGACCTTTCATTTCCAAACTAAAATAAGCCTCGATAAGATAACCCATCAGTATGGTAAAATCGTGCTGAAAAATATGTAAAATGCATTTAAGGAAAACAAGTAGTCCACGCATTGATGTTGAAGAGTAAAATGACTAATTGATTTGGTTTGTGTAAAATAAAAAACACACGTCTATATTTTCTTTCTCACATAATTTATGGGCCACAATTTCAAAACAAAAGCCCTTGTGAAAATGTATCAATGCACGTTTTACTGATGGGATATATCCGTGTGTGTGTGTGTGTATGTGTGGGTTTGTGTGTGTACAGACCACAAACAGCAGTCAAAGCGGTTCAGCTGTGAAAATGTTTTATATACAACTCCAAATTCTTAACAAAAGCAAGAGGCTACACATAGTTTCCTAAATCTGACAAACTGCTTGCGGTTGTGTGTAAAACAGAAAATATCACAAGAAACAGTATTTGAAGGGTACTCTGAATCTCACCAAAACTCTCCTGCACATGTGATTGTTTTGTATATTTGGCCAACACGTTAGGACACGAACACGCAATATTACACTACACCTAGAGGATCTAAAAATGAAAATGGCTACCGGGGATCCTAACCAAAATGAATATAATTGTTCAGATGGCTTCCTTGGTACAAATGTGTCAAATGGCTGTGATTTTAGAGCAGATCCTTGCCGTTCCTCTCTCTGTTCATCTTCTTCATTTTCATCCTCCTGTTCTGGAACCAGATCTTCACTTGTCTCTCGGTTAAAGTCAGAATGCGGGCCACTTCAAAGCGTCGGTCTCTTGTCAAATACATGTTGAACAGGAACTCTTTCTCCAGCTCTAAAGTCTGATATTTTGTGTACGGGCATCGCTTCTTTCTCGTGGAGCGTGCGTGAATCCAGTTTACTGAAGGGTTGCCTGAAAAACAGATATAAATGAAGTATAAGGACACATGTTATGAGGATGTTTTTATTTATTTAAAAGTGTATTCAATTGTCCTTAAATGATGATTCTGGGACCCATAAGCTTACTGGTGTGTTTGCAGGTAATTAAAAGCAAAATGAGAAATCGTTGAATGTGATAATGCGTAAAGATGAGTATTTCCATTACATGTTTTCTTGTTTTTACCAGCAGGTAAAATAACATAATAGAGAAAACAACATATATGTATACTTATATATCCCTAACGTCTATAGCTCATGAAAAATCTAAAATAAAGGAGCAATGTTGCTGTTTAGGGCGTCCTATGACATGACAAACTTTAGGATCCCCTGCAATAACCCGAGCAGGGCGGGTTTTCTCCCTTTCGGAGCCGAGGTATAGTACGAGACACTTTTATAGGTTAGTAAAACCTCCAGTTTTACACACCCAGCTCATACAGTTCTTAGGGTTGTAAATCAGGATTAGCTTTTTGGTTTACTTACTTTGGTCAAGTTGTTGTTGTTTCTCTTCTTTGGGCTCGCTGTGGCTCGAAAGCTCACTTCCACTTTGCTCTTTGGTCGCCTTTTCTGGACACTCTGATACTCCACACGCGAAATCCCCGCCGACCGGCCGAGCCTCTGCCTCTAAAGAGTCGTTCTCCGTAGCTTTCGGTGGCAAGACCTCCGGCTTTGTCCCGTACGGCCGACTGCTGGGGTGAAATCCGCTGAACGAAACGTGGTTGGAGATGGGGTCCATCCAGGAGCGGACGCCGACATATCTACCGTCCGAAGCGGGCAGATGGGACTGGTGGTGGTGGTGATGGTGTACGTACGGATGATAAATCCCCTGCGGGTGAACCGAGGACCAAGACGACGAAAAAACGGCGGACTTTGGCGCAAAATTGCATGAGGAAAAGTCTGCGTTGTCCCCGGCACCTGGCGGCCTCGGGGTCACCGTGTGCGGAGCTTGAAGAAAACGAGCACCGTACACATCCTCCGGTTCCTGCCCCATGATAGCGTCCACATAGCAGTTACTGAGAGTGCCACTGGAAGACATTTTTTGATCTCTTCCTACTCATATAATAAGGGTTGCACTGTTACGGGAAGCTTCCCTCTATGAACAATCATAGTATTTTTTGCTGGCCTGCATCTACAGGGATTGGTTACATGGATCACGTGGTCATATTTACCAATACAGCGAGTAAATCAATCCTGCCCTTGCTCTCTTTCTTTTCCTCGTCAGGTTTAATTTAGCTTTTCATTTCACAAATAATAAAAAGGCCCCATCATATGTGACTGGAGGGAGAGTGAAATCACTCAAATGAATTCAAATTATTATCTTTTCTATTTTTTTCATTTGCGGGTGGTGCAGGACCCTGCAACAATGCAAGCAGGTCAGAAAAAGGAATAAGACACATTTCCCCCCCTCCACAGTCAAACACCCCGTGTCTTAATGTTATAGGAAACTCTTCTAATATCGTCCTGATACCCTCAATGCTAGTAAAATTCTTTATAGACTTACGGAGTCCTCGTAAAATAGATGTAATAACATGCTGTAAAATAACAGTCGCCATTTCCGCTCACAATGCAGTGAATCCTTTGTTAATAATAGGCTAGAAAACCTATTTTCAGGGTTGTTTTAATTTTTAAAAGCTAAGCCGGAAACGCTAGTTGTGAAATAGTTGTATTCATTCAAAGGAGGGCAATAATGTCTTTATGCATCAATAAATGTTTTATGAGGTGCGTGTGATTATACATGCCGTCAATAAAAAAAGAAAAGACTAGGAGAAGCTTAGTCCATCTGTATGTTGCTATATGGAAGGTGTAATTCAACTCTAATATACATATAGTTCTTTTTGAGCAGAAATACACATTTTCGCTTGTTTTGAAACATTCTAAGTGTACCTTCAGTCCAGAAAAATACGCACATTAATCGCCAAGTATTAGGACAAATCTGCAGACTGCAATTCAGAGGGACCGTTTCATCTCAGATCATCTGAACATATAAAGTTATTCCTCACCATGAGAATAATAATAGCTACGTGGCTACTGAGGCCTGTGTCGCTCGGAGGGAAGGAAATGCTGAGGCTTGCCTGTGAATTTGTGCTTGAACATAACTTAGTCCGCCTGATAGTTTCATATAGACTGTTAGTTTAGCAACAAACAGGCCTGGAAATTAAAACACAATTTGTATTTCATATCACAGCCTCCGACTATATTTGTCCATGTTGCTGCACTCTTCGTACGCAAAGGCCGAGACATTTCGATATGTTTTTTTATTTATTTTTTAATACGTTTGATTTAACAAACATCAATCTTACATTTTGTCTTTAAGGAGATTAAATATAATTGATAAGAATTTGCTAAATCCTGTACAAAACACATGCATTGAAATGCTAGTAGCCCACTAACTAAACATTGTTTAGTTTAAAAACTAAACAATGTTTAGTTAGTGGGCTTCTAGCATTTCAATACGCTACAAGCTCAAGATGTAGGCTATACAATTGAGATCTAATTTAGTGAAAATAGAGCTTAATTGTACACATATAGACAGCATTTACGCACAGAAGTATACTGCGCATTAGGAACATTTTGGAACACCATTTATTTTCGTGCTACAAAGTGCAAAAGGCTCCTTTAGAAAATCTATTTTATTTTCCTCCTCTTCATAACCGTTTTAAGGAAACTAATGTCTGCGTCAATGCAAATACCGCAGATTCCGGCGGTGGCATAGCAGTCACTAATAAGATGATGTCAGATGAGAGACTTTGGTATAGCACAAACAAAAACAAAACAAGATTATTTGACAATTTATTGCAAGATACATGCCACAAACATGCAACAATTTCACAGATTAACATTGTATTCCGCCATAGAAACATTTCACTGTTGAGCAAATGGCTTGCACTTACTGCAAAACAAATGTTGCACTATACAAGACAATAAAATGTGCTTTCATGACTGGAAAGGAGGAAATATTTTACAAACAGCTCGTCATCGCGATACATTAAATGTCCAGGTCTACTGGCTACAAAGAAGAAATCGACTTCAATAATTTAAGACTTAGAAGTGTAACCCTGTGATAAAATAAAGCAAATACACGACGCCACAGAAAGTACTCAAATTGGCTAAGGGCCTATATTCACAGTTTCGTTGAAATTGAGGATAAACGTCCAATGCAACTAAAGCATCAAACTGAATATGAGAGAACATGAAACACAGCTAACCACAGTTACATGCAGGCTCACGAAAAGGTGAGATTTGAGGTCAGTTCACGGATGCGGTTTTCTCTGTTCATTTTCTTCAGCTTCATCCTGCGGTTCTGAAACCAGATCTTGACCTGCCTGTCGGTCAGGTTGACGCCCCTGCTGATCTCTAGGCGGCGCTCTCGGGTCAGATACATGTTGAAGAGAAACTCCTTCTCCAACTCCAAGGTCTGGTGCTTTGTGTAGGGACATCTTTTCTTTCTTCCACTTTTTGCAGTTAACCAGTTGCTTGTTGGAGGGGCACTCTTGCAATCTGTAGAGATTAAAAACCAGTTAGTGATTTATTTTGAACAAAGTCTCACCTGCTAATTTTGATTTTACCTCTGGGAAATAACAGACAATATACATGTTTTCCCAGAAAAAGATAATCAAATAAAATTTCTTTCCAATTGAAATGGAAATTAAATTATCACTTTTGATTGTGATCAAACCACACTGACCTCATCTTTATAAAGCTTTAAACATGTGCAGAACATCTGTTTAATTACATCAATGCTTCAAATGCATTAACACTTGATAACATTGTTACAATCATCAATTTTAAAGATAATTTCTAACAGTGTTATGGTTATCTTCTAACTAAAGTCACAGACTCATCTATCTAGAATTACACAGATGCAAATGCACCAATTTTATAGTTTCCACGAGTAAAGACATTTTGCAATAATGCAAACATTTAAACTATTCTTAGATTATTTTTTTTGCTTTTAAATCAGTGCAACATGCAGAACATAAAGCAACACAATAGGAAAACGTTTTTTTTAAGTGCACATTAGAATTTCAATAGGAGGAAAGACTGACACACAGTCTGCATGCTGCATGGTAAAACCATTCTCTGTTGCCCATTACTGCAACCTGAGAAAGACTCTCATTAAACATTACGACTTTAGGGTTGTTTGTGTTTTATACTTGGTTTTATGATGCTGAAGCCTTCACTGCAGCGCCACAAGATAAAAGCTTTACTGTAGCCAACCCACCTTTCCCTTCTTTTAGCAGCTCAGGGCTGGACACTGGGGCTTCCATGGAGCAGTTTTTCTCCCCGGAGCTGGACCTTGGATCCGGGCTGTCTGCGGGGACCGGGGTCCTTGAGGTCTCGGGGTTTTGCGGTACACCCTCACTTTTCTTTTTCTCCTCTGCAAAATTTGAAGGCGCGGAGGAGGACTGCGGTTTCGGGGTGACCCGGCTGAGCTGCACCAGTGTTGGGTTTGGACTCGGCGGCTCATGGCAGTAGTTTTCCGGATGTTTCCCATTCGCATAAGTTTGGCTCAGTCTGAAATAGCCCGGCACCGGGATCTCGGGACCATCGACAGGACAAGACTGGGAAATAACGTTAGAATATGCAGGGACCTCTGTCGAGCTGACTTTTTGCACTCTCTTTTCCGAGTACATGCAGCAGTTACTCTCTTCCTTTATGCTCTGTGAAAATGTGCAGTTTGACATCTGAGTGGACGGCTCTAATCTGCAGGGTCTGTTCGGATCAGTCCAGTTATCTATTTGAGGTATGTACGAGTGGACATTCATGCCCATATTTTGGTGGTTGACTTCCCCTCTTTTGCCGAAAGACGGCAAGAGTCCACAGGTTTGCATTCCGTAAGTTCCCATTTCTGAGCCAGACGGCATGTACATGTTGCTGCTGGAGTAAAAGCTGTCCGACCTGCAAGCACCTAATAAAGAGTCCACTAGAAAGGTGTTTGCCGCAGGAGAGCTACTGGGAAAGGACATTTTGGGGGGTTAAGTTCTTAGAGGAGAGAGATGTCCTTTGTAAGATGACATATCTAGGAAAAACAATCTCCGTGTAAGTCAGGATGCCTCCCGACCACATGACAAGCCCACCAATGAGATTTGAAAATGGCCTTGAGACGCAGCCTCCTCTCCCTGCACACACGCTCTGCTGCAGATCAGACGTGGTCAACAGCGACCCCTACTACACGGACTTGAAATTGGTTTGCAGACTTAACAGTGGCTGTTCAACCAAAACTGAAACAATCACATCTTTTAAAAATGCAATTTGCGATCAGAAAATAGTCCACTTTCATGTAAATGTTACGTGTGCAATCTATCTATGAAATGTTTTCAATGAGATAAATACTTGAAAAGGATATATGCTTCTTTGTGGTAGAGCCAGAGGGAAATGAATGCATGTGTACGTGTAAAATGCTGCCTATATGCCGCATAGAAGAGGTTTTTTTTTTTAAATAATATAACCATTTCTAATTGAATGCCTTCTTTATTCATATAAACCATACACACCAACAACACAGTCCACATTAACCGTGTATGAAAAACACATGTTTTACTGTCTGAATTATAATAATAATCGATACAAAAATAAAGATTGCAATTTGATAATAACACTGTTTGCTCTGTCATTCCTTCATTCTTTCAGGGTTTGGGGTTGTTCACACATTCACTTTCCTGATTAATTTATCTGATTAATAGCACATAACTATTCAATTTAATGACAAAGACCATTGCATTTCTTGCAGCAAATCAGCAGAAATTAAGGTACAATGGGTATGCCATTCCCTTATTAGAATTAATTAACTAAAATAGCTCTTTTTGCATCATCATATCTTTGCAATGCGGTACCTTTCCTAAATTTCCCTTAAAACGAATAGAAAACTGTCCTTTGTTGTTTACACAGATATTTAGCAACATTTCTGTGTTTGCATTTTTTTTTATACAGGTATTTCCGATGTTGAAAATAAAACCTGGCGGTGCACAGTCTGGGGATTATTTTGCTCAGGGGTCCATTGTTTGTGTCTTTAAGGAAGGCAAATGTGTGCAAGACAAACATAGTGCCAGGTAAACTA